ATAGTGGTGCGATAGTGAACTTTACGGCGGTTAAGTGGTTAAGTTAAGTGGGTGGATCTCTGAAATGGGAGTCTGTGACCGTGAGTTTTTCTTTTACATGCAACTTGTTAACCTTTTGGCGGTACACCACCAGCGTTTATTTTAAAATGTGAAAGTTTACTGATTGTTTATATCAAACTGAAACTGCTGAACTAATTTTGATGAATGTAGAGTATAAAGATTGGAAATAAGAAAACGATATTACCTAGTTACCTTTTTCCAGAAAGCATTTTAAAACTTTAAAGTTGGATTAAGCTTAATCTCTTATTTTGTCATATACGTAGAATTTAATTAATAAGGGCCGGCACTATTTATGAACCTATGACGTCAGTAGTTCGCGAACTAAATTAACTAATAATTTGTTTATTGGTTTTTAAATGTCCCAAAAACTAGATTTAAAAAAAATAATAATTGAAAGAATCTTGGTTTTCATGACTAGAATGGAGTTTTTGATGAAAACATGTCTTGAAATGCTATACTTACCTATAATGCTAACTAAGGCTGAGTTGCACCACCTAATATTGACCGTAACTTTAACGATAACCAGTGTTTTTTGTATGGAGTTTGACAGATTTTTGACGTTTGTCAAAGTTAAAGTAAGATGGTGCAACCCAGACTAAGAATCAAAAATGATTTGCAAATTACTGACCCATAATATTTCAGTTCTCCACAACATATTTGGTAGTAAATATAGTAGTGTTTGTCTCATTATGTAATTTTGTGTATACCTACGCAAAGAATTAAAATAAAGTCAATAATCAATTAAGTAAGGGTCAGCAGACATAACACTTAGCATCGGCGAATGGCGATTTTGCGGCCGTATCGATGCAATATCGCGATTTCGCGACTGTATCGAGTACTACATTAGCTTTAACTTCGAACTCCTCCTATGTTCTTCTGATTAATTTCGTTGCGGGCCCAAGACCCCGGGCAAACTTGACCTTCACTGGTTGGGTTTTTATTAGCGGTCAAGATGTAGATCCTGGCTACACAGGAGTTGCAACGGTGGGAAATAGTGGTGGGAATAGTCCCGTTCTAAATCAATAACTTTAAGTCTATAAAAACTATATAAAACGTCTATTATTGACTGAATGGAAAGCATAATCTTGCATATTCTTATCTCATGACATCACCATTGCTTTAATTTGATTCAATATTAAATCAGACCACTTAACGACTAAGATATGCAATCAGTTATAATCCTATTATATTTTATTAATAACATAAGTATTATAATAAGGAGAAATCAATATACAAAATTTTGTTTCGTTTTGAGATGTATCTAGCGGTTTACTTAAAAGTTTCAGTTAGTAGTAAATTCTTATCTTTGTAGTTTAATTACAATCACACATTTAATTAAATTAAATAAAAGCTAATCCAAGGATATTTATTTTTTCCTAAATTTCGTAAATATTTGGTAAAAGGGTTTTAACGAAGTTTATAGATATGTTTCAAAACATAAATTCTTAACTAAGTTACTATGCCAGGTGCCATTTTAAAAATCCTTAGCCTAGTTATTAAATTATTTGAATTTATACGTTCACAAGTAACACCAGTACGTCAGTTAGATTAATAATCTTATATTTTATCAGTGTTTAATCAATTTGTTGTATTTTTATTTTGTTTAAATTATCAAGTCTTGCAATTTTTATTCAAGTCATTTTATTATCAAAAAATTGATAACTTACTATCTTTACGACCATACCTTAATCCTATTAATTAATTTGTAATTTACAAATATAACAACAACTGCCACAGTTAAATATAAAAGTAATAAAGCATAAAATTAATATACACTTAATATTCTCTGTTCTAAATAGAAAAATATTTAGCCGTTTTCTTTAAACTTTATAGAATTAAAGAAATAATTGCGACCAACACAAATGCAAGTTAATACTTGCTCCATTCAACAAATTACGGTGTAATATTAAGTCATGATCATTTCCTTAATAGAGTACACGTCCATACACCCTGTATATACTTATTTATAAAGTAGACTGCGGTCGCTATACCGCAGTATTGTGGTCCGAGGAAATTATTATTCAATTTCGTACACGGGCAATTTTATTTATAGCCGATGTTAATGAAGTTAATGAAACTAAAGAACACCTTGCATTCCGATGGGTTATGGGTTGCAGTGCAATTGTTAGGGAATCCGATGTAATTAGCAAGTTTATACAAATTACGTTTTTAAAGTTCGATTGCTGGTTCGGTCAATTCATAAATAAATGTACGTGTACCTAATAGAAGAAAAAAAGAAAACAAAGATGTGAGAAGGTATAAGTAATACAGTACTTCTTATTATTCTGTGGTAACTGGTAATACAAAGTTAGTAAATAAATAATACGGGTGTTTATGTCATATTGACAGAAACCATATAAAATTAGCAATTACAGGAAAAACAAACATGGTTGAACTGAGCAATTTCATTCAGCATTTCGAAAAATTTTGACCACGAAAATGTACTTTAAAATCAAAAATCTAAATCAAAAATATTTATTCAGTTTAGACCACAAGTGGCACTTATGAACGTCAAAATATAGTAAATAATAAAAAAAGAAAAGGTAGCCCTTATGGGGCACTTTACATGTCTTCCTTATCTCTTGGGCCCTACCAGCGCTTCGAGACAAATATATGGCAAGTCCTGAGAAGAAACGCCGGAACAAACTCAGTCACCACTAATTGCCAGGAATTTTCAAATTTACTTGTATTTACCTAGTTATTCCATGTATGTTTATTTATATCCGACTATCCGCGGTCTAGTATTCATATAATCTTTAGTTTTGGATTAAGATTACGCACAGTAAAATACCTAATATCATTTATTTATTTATATTCCACCCATGATTTTCAACTGTGGGAAACGTCAAGCATGCTCGTCCAACCTTTAATGCGCATTCCGACACAAGCAAATGACTTATTCCCGCGAACGACTAATCGCCACCTATTAAAGGTATAACGCCATAATAAGGCCAATTAACGTAATGACATTTATCTATTAATGACAATTGATTACAAGAAACTAAGGTCGAGATTACCGCGGTAATAGTTATAAATCACGAAGAGGTTTTTACCTCAATTAAACGATTGAACTTTGAGCTGATAATTGAATTATGGTAAAGTTTGCATTTAATTGTTGCTTGTACAGGATATTTTTATTATTAGTTAGATACTAGTATCGCAGTTTGTATGGTTTGTTCATACAGTGCACGTGCATATTTAAAAGGTCAACTATTATTAAAATGAATGTTATCATTGATCGATAAAATGAAGCCATATAATTGGTTCAAATTGAATTAAATGACATACTATAACTCAAACTAAATTACAGTAAATTTTAGTTAGTAGGTACATAGATAACTATAGTACAGACTACACGATACTAACTTGGGTACAGGAAATACAACATTGAAACGACTTGTTTTAGACGGTTTTATAGTTAGGAAGCGCTTTGAAATTAAACTTGATACCTGTGTTCATCCAACTCTTTATTATACTATAGTTCATCATTCAGCTAGTTGGTGCACTCCGACTGTCAATGAAGAAATAATTGTAATGAACGTATAAAATAATGAGATCTTTTCAAGACTTTGCCTTAAACATACTCATTAGACCTAAACTGCATTGTAACCATAAAGACAATTATGCGAAGTCGTTAAAAGGACATCACAATTAAATTATAACTATGTCATATCCATAAAACGCCTAATAATTATTGTTAAAACTGCATTACTTGCAATGCTATCAATGTGAAGATATTAAAAAGCTATATTTTAAATAGTTATCGTCTTCTTTCATTACTATTAGGTACAATTAATTCCAAATAGATTTAATTTTATACTTACTTCATTTACTTATCACCTGTTAACTAGGGTTGCCACTAGTTGCCAGGTCCAAAAACACAGAAGCCAGACTTGGTGCTTAATTTGGCCAGATATTTTACCCTAAAAGCCGGTTATACTTTTTAATAGCTAATCATAACTTTTTAAAAGTCCTAATTAAGTTCTAATTCGCGTCATGGCTTTACTTGTGCGTTCGATTTTATACTGGCGCGATAGCCACATGGAAAACCTAACAAAAAACGGACAGGCCGGACGAGAAAATATTTGGCCGGACACGCTCGAAAAAAGCCAAACATGTCCGGCTATGGCAACCCTACTTGTAACGCCGCAGTCATCTTTTCGAAACTAGAATTATTGTCCTTTTTTCTCGCGTTTGTAACTATAAGATCCTCCAAGAAGCGCATTAATGAGGCACTTTTTGCTGTTTCGAAGGATACCATTAAAACGTCTATTAGAATGTGCTAATTCAATCATGTGGTATAAGTGGCTCATCTGAAGCAGTCACGCCAACTCCAATTAATAATGGTCGGACAAATTGTTGTGACCAATTACGGTCAATTAAGGTACATAATGCGGTGTCAACGGCAACTGGTTACTTTGTATGGATAACACGTGTAAAGAAGGTTTTCTTGTTGGGTGTTTACTTGAGTTTGAGCTATTTACGTGACTGATAGGGGCTGTCCAACGTAAAAAGTATAGTCTCTCTTTTTACGTTGAATAACATTCCTGGGGTAGTATTGACTATTAGGGATTACGCGGTATTAGCCTGCATTCTCGGATATTGTTGCTCAACTATGGATAATGTGGTGCACCATCTGTTCATACTTACTTATGCGTTTATTGCTAGCCTTAACTCTATATTTATTTAGTAAGCCAACTAATCTGTAATTGATCAAGATAACTGAACATCGTGTTGAAATAAATTTACTTCTTTATAAATGATCCTACGATTTTAGCACACACACTTACATTTATAGGACACCTAGGGATAACTAACTCCTTCTTGACGTCACCTCGCGCGACTGTTCGTTGTACCTAAATAAGTCGTGATACCTTTATAGTTTTAGGTTGTCGTACGTTATTGTCACCCCAATTAACCACTACCTTTTCTTCTTCCAGAATATTATCAAGACCAGTACCAAAAGTACAACCCCACTATGGGGGTCTCGGAGGCGCCGAAAGACGACTCCCCCCGGACGACCCCCGAGCTGTCCAGGACCGACCAGTCCCCTGCCTCGGAGCGACCTCCCCCAGGGTCGGCAGACAGCGATGATGCAGACGAGTTCGCCCCCAAGAGAAAACAGAGGCGGTATAGGACCACCTTCACCAGTTTCCAGCTCGAGGAGTTGGAGAAGGCCTTCTCGAGGACGCATTATCCTGATGTGTTTACCAGGTAAGACAAAATTTCACTCTAATGGTATATTTTAACGTTTATAACAAGGTGGACCCAAGATAGAGTCTTGCATGAACCCTCATCCTCTTTTTTAAATTCACTTGTTCCGGGGAAACGGCAGAGGAAAGAAAAAAACTACTTCTTCATCTTTCATTCTTCTTCTGTATATTTGCTCTAATATGTTGACTAGTGATGATGCGCATTTTTTTCAGAACCGACCTTGATTTCTCGATTAATTTCACCGTTTTAAAATAATCAAGCTAATCTCCATCAATTATAGCTAACGTCATATTATGTTTAATTTCATTAGCGCTGTTTATTTAATCAGTAATCAGTTAATCATTGCTGTAATATATCAACATGGTTGGTAAGGCATGTGTTGAGATAAGACTCCACGAAGTGTTTGATTTATAATTTTAATTGGATTATCTATGATAGTTCGTTTTCCTTCATTTACCAATGCTATTTTTAGTAAGTGGTTTCTAAGCACTGCTATTTTATCTCGGTAACTATTGTTACATGCGGCTCTTTTCCTTTTCACATAGGTACTTATCTAGGAAGATAAACATCAGAGTATTATGATATTATCAAGACTATATGATTTTCTTTTGTTACAGAGAAGAACTCGCAATGAAGATCGGACTTACGGAAGCTAGAATACAGGTAAGAATCTTCTTTTTGCATAGATAAATAGATAAAGGCTTTTATTTTCAGGTCAGTAGTGACAGAACCCAAAGGAACCATTTCAGGGCCAATAAGGGGTGATCATGTATTTGGTATTTTTCTCTATGAAAAATAATAGTGTAAAAATATCACCGAATCCCAATAGGTTCCTTGATATAGCCCTGACCCGCCATTTCATGAGAGGTGGTGATTTTCATTAAGTGCATTTTAAGATTTATGACGGCTCTGATAAACTATAATCCAACTACCCTAAAAGGATTAAAACTCTCCGTTGCTCATCGTCCCCAAGGCTGTTATTTAAACCACACAGGTTTTGTTGATTTCCCGATCAGTCAATGCTAGTGTTGCCACATAATTTCAGTGCGAACAAACGCGTCAACAAACAGACAAAGACAGCTTAATTCCTGCTCACAGCTGAGCAGCCTTTAATCAAGCCTCGCCGATGCAATGCGACACTGGCCTCTGCAACAATTACTATAATAATGTGTATGGCTCGGAGAGCGAAGCGAAGGTAGCTCATGGATGCGGCAAATGCCTACGCTTGAATCCAAGCTGGACTTTAATTAATATTAGTAATTTGTATTACACAAATTATAGTTAGTCCCGTCAACCACTCGTACTAAGATAATATGCTTGTATTAGGTACGAGTGGCTTCACCATATACTATTTTTAAAGAATATTAGTATTTTCATTGCACTATTGGTCCCATTAACCACTCGTTCTAAGCTAAATATACTTGTGCTATGGTGGGTATACCACATTAGTCCAGTGGCGGTGGGGTTCGTTTTTCAGATCATGAGTCTTTCTTCAGAATGCTCATAATATTGTTGTTATGGCGACCAGACCAGACTTATAAATATTTATCCAAGAAGTGATGTTTCTAAATGAACTCCTTTTACTACAGACTTAGAACATGTAGTGTGTTACACTTTAAGAATTTATTACCATGCCCATTTTCACCATCAATCCCTAAATTTTATATGACCCCTATGAAAACAAAATTCATATTATATGTTACCATAGGGGTCAATTTTTATTAGGGATTAATGGTGAAAACGGGCGTTATTTTATTACCTACTAATAAAATATACTTGTCGATAACTTCTGAGTAAATTCAGCTATTAAGTGTATAATTCCTAGAAACTGATATGATTGTTGGTTAATTGATATTATTTTATTTAGATAATAATACCTGGTACCTAGTACATGTGGTAATAATGTGGCTTGTTAATTTTTTATCTGATAAAATCAGATAAACAAAAATCATTCGATGCCTTAACAAAATGACCTACCTTAATTTTGCAATGTTTTAGTTATGGTACACCAATAATTTTATTATCTTCATAATCTACATAAAACAATGCTATACACTAAAAGTACTTATTTAACAAATAAAATATATAAAACATTGAATGAAACGTTATCACCGGAAATACTAATCTTATTATGTCTATTTATATAGAATCGATAAGATAGTGTAAAGCAATTTATCACAATCACATTTAAACCTCTAAATGCGTCATTGAATGTTATAAATATAGAGTTAATAATCCTTTTTCGAAGGGATTCTAAAGATAGTTGGAATGAAATAATAACTAATCATAAATTATTGAAAATGAAAATGAAAATGATATTTATTTAGTCCAAAAATATTACAGTACATGATCTGGTTACTGTTACATTCAGATTAAAAACCGATTACAATTTATACAGTAAGTATGTACTAACAGCATCACTGGACTCCACACTAGGATTCCCTGTGTCGTGGAGACCAGTCTTCGCATTGAAATTTCGAGATAAAGTGCGTGCATGACTTTGTATTTTGAAAATTTTAACTAACTTGAAAAAAATCGAACTGCCTAAGACAGGAATTGAACCCACTAATATTTATAATTATTTATAATTTTCAAATAAGTTTGAGATGCGACTCTTATCGTTAGAAATTAAATAACTTTGTATGTGTGATGTGTGTGTGTGTGTGTGTGTGTGTGTGTGTGTGTGTGTGTGTGTGTACGTGTGTGAGTGAGTGCGCACGCGCGTGCGCGCGCGTTTTGTGTGTGTGTGTGTGTGTATTAAGCATTTTAAAAACTAAGAAATAATTTTGTAAATTGACTGTACAGTCAGCGTAAAAGTTTGTGAAACCCAAAGTGGCCAAAAAGTTGTTAACACAACCTTATTCCAATTATTGTAAACAAACACGTATTGCGAACTTTTTGGCTACCGCACTACCGTAGTTCGTACCTACATGACTGTTATTATAATATTTATAATTATCAAATGTTCACCAAATCAAGAGGCCAGTTAATGATTTTTTCAAATTAAATAAATAGCGGCTTTATTTTGAACTTTTTGGGACCCTTATAAAATGCCGTATCCATCTTTTTTCTTTCCTCCTCATCCCAAGGATCTTTAATAGCATAGAACAGTATATCAGAGCACCGTTTATGAATTCGCAACGCTTATACCGTTGGCATAGACGATTATTCGATTCAAATCGATACTGTGAGGCAATCGGAATCGAGCACTCTGTCAAAATAATCGCCAAGATATTTTGTAATAAAACTAAATTCATTGTTTGTTATTTACCTATTTACAAAAATGGAAAACTGTGTAATTTACTCTAAAGCAATTTTTAAACTGAAAATCTGCATTTTGAAAGAATCTTTTTTTAAAGAATTTGAGTAATTTGTAAATACATACTAATAATCCCGTTAACCCCTCGTGGTAAGCTAAATAATATGCTGATGCTATGATTGGGTTCACCACAATAGTCGTGCGGCGGCAGGGATTTGGGGGCCTTTGACATCTCACATCATCGTGTCAGCCATATGGCGTCCACTGCTGAACATAGGCCTCCCCCAATGCTTTCCATGTTGCCCGGTTGGTAGGGCCTGCGTCCAGCGCCTTCCTGCTACCTTTATAATGTTGTCGGTCCACCTTGTGAGTGGACGTCACATGCCGTCTTTGACATAATTTCCCTCAATTTTTAAACTATCTATGGTCGTTATTTTCTAAGATTAATAAATCAATGAATACTGTAGAAGTCAGTACATAATAGACAATAGTATTTTAATTGTAAAATCGTACTTAGTATTACAATTACCTACGTTAATTGCCACATTGCTGCAGTGTTAATCCGTTATTAAAGAGGAAAGGAACAGAAAACCATTTCGTAAGTACAAACCGTAACAAATTACACGTATTTTTCCAATGTGCCACATTCTACGCACCTTTACACACCATGTGAATAGGGTTACCAAACCATTTCTCAGAATTTGTGCTGAAAGATCTCAGTTTTCAGGCTTCTCAAGATTACAGCCGAATATTAAACAGGAAATCTCGGATTTTTAGAATTTACAATACATATTATAGACCTTTTTAATAAAAAGTTAATAATATACCTAGCTTTAGTACCTATTAATTGCACAATTAAAATCAGTACTACTTATTTATCCAAGTAGGTACCTACGCGTGAGCGAGGTACCTCGAGATCATCAGCAGTGGTACTCCGGACTTTTGGTTGTTTTTGGTAACCCTACCTGCAAACAAGTACTCGTGCTTGAATTGATTCCAGCACCATAGCTAACCCCATATTAATTCACACTACAATTTCCTTAAAGGTCGCGATAATTCGAACCAAATTGATACTTGCAGAGCAGAATGAAGTGATCGGCCCGATTGCGATACCGAATAATAATTACATTAATTGCACGGTTATTGATAAAAGTTGTCTCAAAATTGAAACGTGAATTGTGAACTCACGTACTTACACAGAAAAGTACGTGATCACGAATATTAAAAAGGATTTATTCAATTTTAAACTATGCTACCATGATAGTAAAGAACTTTTTTACATCGGCAAATTTTCTTAATTCTTCCTCAATTTCACTTTTATTCTTAACTGAATAACATACAGGGTGGTAATTTAATCGCCTGCAGTATTTAAGGACTATGATAGAAGGAGCAATTTCCCTTTTTCCTATTCAGAATTGCAAATGGCGCCCATTACTTCATGTCTTAAAAATATGTTAATCAGACTTATTATGCATGATTATGCGATTCTTTTCCATCAATTGAAAGCTTGTTTCAACAACAAAACAAGCAAAGAGAAAGACAAAGAGTCGCTATTCTTTTAAAATAGTATCGTATTTTTACCCCGTTGTTTATTAAATGGGATCATTAGCAATCTCCTTGTATTATTACCGGCTGATTCAATCATGCTTTCTTGTGTGGGTAAATTACGCTATAGTACAGTTGGGTACAAAAATATTAAGATGTGTGTCAGTTCGATCGGTCGATGTGGTCATGTGACCTAACTTGGAAGAGATCAATGGAATTATCATTTGTGTTTATCTTCTATTCTGATTTTCATATAATTCCTTTTATATGAAAATCAGAATTATTACTGAGTGTGTTTCCACAATTTACTTTCTTCTTTCTATCTCCAACATCAATCTTTGAGCATCTTTTCAATAATAATAATACAGTTTGCTCTCAGGTGATATTTTTACAAGTATTTAAGTAGTAAATAATTTTATGGGACAAACTCAAAATTAAATTTAATTATTCGCTAGCGTTTGAATCGAGTTTTGGGCATCATTTTATAAAACAGCCCGTATTAAACGTAGCCGACTGTACACGAACGGACGTGTACATAACACAAGCTCGCCATAAGTGTTGAAAATATTAATAACTCGTGTAATAAGCGCCGGTAATCCGTTCATTTGTAAAACTTAATGATAATACGTTATTCTTTTTGAACACGTGTTAAACTTCTGCCAGCTAATAGTGTTATGTAATGTTGGTAATTTTTAACGATCACACCAATTACTCTAGCCCTTAAGTAGGCCTTAATACGCTAGAGAGACTATATTAACGTATATTATAAAATTACATACATAGACTAACATACCAGCTTAATTATTGTTTATGCGTCACATACATATTCTCCAACTGACAGAACCACAAATGTCTAGTC